GGTCAGTGAGAGACTAATAATGCCTTGTCCAGCTGTTTGGCCTCCAAAATTAGTGATTTCTAAGTCAACTAAGAACAAGTGAGGGCTGGGGATGTGGCTCAAGCGGTAGCACGCTCATCTGGTATGCGTGCGGCCTGGGTTCGATCCTCAGCACCACATACAAACAGAGATGTTGTGTCCGCTGAAAAAAACTAAAAAATAAATATTAAAAAAATTCTCTCTCTCTTTAAAAAAAAAAAAAAAGAACAAGTGAAACTAAAGGGTATAATTAGGTTCCCCCCCACACCAGTATCAATACTTCCTCAAGAAGTAATCTGCTAAAAGAGAATGGCTACTGTCCACTTAATTGGCACATGCATTCTCCAGTTTTCCACAATCCTCACCTTCCCCTATTGTCTCCAACACTAAAGATGATTATATATTTTCACTTACTACCACCATGCTCTCATTTCTGTTTCTTCCTTATAGTAGAGAAGCATTTTTCTTTTCCCATGTATATATAAGAAGTGGCCAAAGAAGAGATATAATGAGAGCTTTAAGAATTTCAAGAGTGGCTCAAGCGGTAGCGCGCTCACCTGGCATGCGTGCGGCCCGGGTTCAATCCTTAGCACCACATACAAACAAAGATGTTGTGTCTGCCGAAAACTAAAAAATAAATATTAAAATTCTCTCTCTCTCTCTCTGTTTTTAAAAACAAACAAAAAAAGAATTTCAGGAAAAAAATACAATTCTTGGAAGAAGTGAGGACTAATCTTCCATGTTTAATATGCAAAATGAATATAGTTACCAAGAATAGTTACTGGACATTTACTCATTGACATCTCCTATCTGGTCCCACAATCATTATTTGCCTTTGAAACTCCTGGTCTGGTGTTCTTAGGGTATTTATGCTCTGGATTTTTTCCTAGTCCTAGTTTTCCAAATCTGCCGCCGCCTACTGTCCAGAGAAGGCAGTCGGGCATATAGAAGAGGTTCTAGGTGGCTCTTAATTGCTCCTCCAAATTTGCCTCCCTGATTTTCTGCAAATGCAAATAACCTGATTCCTACAGATGGATCATAACCATATCATTTCTTTCTAATTTAGCAAAAAAAAAAAAAAAATGCTATTCACACAGTGATTCTTCCCATAAAAGAATCGGAACATCCTAACTTAGTTAATCTCCTAACTACTTGATTTTCCTTGTAATTGAAGTTATATGTAGATACTGTAAACATAAACTAATTTATCCAATAGTTTTTGTTTTGATTTTATGAAAAGGAGGAAAGGAATGAAGGAAGGGGAAGGGGGAGATAGGGAAGGTGGGAGGAAAAAGCAAGAAGGACCATGGGCAGCACTCAGTGGATATGAGCATAATATGGTCTACAGCTGGCTTGGGGCTGAAGCCAGAAATAGATAGACAGTCAGTGTAAATAGGTAAATTGAGTCAGGTCGGATCTAGGAGGTCAATTTTGAGTGAGTCTGGGAAGTGAAGACTGTCCCCTGAGGGTGACTGTTTACCAAGATGTAGGGCCTGCCCAAATAAACCTCCAACTGAGGGAACCATGATTGGTACCCAAGTTTCCAGACAAAGGGGGGGATGAGAAACTGATGTGACTCCATTTTTGAGAAACCAGCCTCTACCTCAGAGCAAAGCCTGTCCAAGGAAAGGGGAGTGACCCTTGTCCTTGGAAAAACCCACAGAGTACTCCTAGGCATATACCCACCCTGCTGAGTTGTTTGTCTGCAAATAACAGTAGAGATCTGCGGTGCCAGGTGTCCCTGACTCAGTTAGGCTAGGTGAGGACCTATAGCAACCCCTAGCAACCACCAATGGGCATGAGACAGGAAAAATACCTGGGATGCCAGATGACCCCCAAGTAGTTTATGGTGGTTGATAACATGTTGGGAAACTATGTAGTTCAGCACATACTCCCCTCATGGCTTAAACCAATCAGTTCAAAGGAATCCCCCTCTTGTACTAACCAATCACCCCTACCCAACTTGTTCCGGCCAGTGAATGTGCTAATCAATGTTAAGAGTTGTCGTTTGACTTTCCTGCGGTGTGAAATGATTTGCTGTGACATGTTGTGACCCTTAGAGTATCCCCCCCAAACCTATAAAATCTCACTGAACAAAGGACCAGGACTCATTCCCTGGGACCGCTGCATCCGGAATGGTTGTGAGTCCAGGCTCAATAAAGCTTGCAATAAAGACTCTTGTGTGATTGCATCGGATTCGGCTCCTGGAGGTCTATTGGGGTCCCACGAATCGAATCTGGCATTACAGGGCCTGGTGGTTTTGTTCTGCATCTCCCTCCTTGGCAATTCCTTCAATCTTCTGGGGACAAGCAGGAGTTTCTTCCATTTTCTTCAGCCTCTTTTATATGAATTCATCAATTAAAAAGTCCCAGGTATTAAGGACCAACCTTGGAAAAGAAAACCAAGAAACAGATCTGAGTGTAGTTAGGGAGCTGCTCTAGTTCCATTGTTCCCTAAAACACCAACACCCCCAAAACACATAAATGGTGACTAGATGGCTTAACCAGCGGCTGTCCTCCTAAGTGGTTTGGCCTTGAATGACCAGGAATTTTGACAGTCTGTCATGCAACCAAAGCTGGAACCAACTTTGCTGGTATCAGAAGCAAATGCCTCACTGCACAGGTTGGAAGGGACTTTGAAGGGGTTGCTAGCAAATTATTAGATAATTCCAAATTATTATTAGGAGAGTGCACATAGAGTTACCACGGTGGTCTCTACTGGACCTAGGTGGAACCCCATAGTCAAAGCACCTGAAAACAAAGGGGCTTTGGCTTGAAAGTGATAGATGAAGAGCTAAATTAGCTTAGGTACTTTTTCCCCAAATATGGAAAATAAATTGCTGGTGTCACAGGAAAACAGGGAGTGAAACTCTAAAGCTTGGTTCTTATGTTCTGATAAAAGAAATTTTAAAGTCAGACACCAAGAGCCATGCAAGATAACTTTATTATAGAGGGTTAAGCAGAGAGCAGGAGAGACAGAGGGGGAGGGGGGGGGGGGGGGGGGGGGGGGGGGGGGGGGGAGGGAGGGGGGGAGGGAAGGGGGGAGGGGATGACTCTGAGCAGACAATGACAAAGGAGACAATGCTGTCTCCAAGTTTATTACTGTTTGATGTTTACTGGGACAACTGGAATCACCTTCTATACTCTTTGCCAATCAGGTGTTCAACTCCTCCTTCACTTCAGGAAGTGGAGTTTTTTACTTTACTTGCTCTTCTCTGGAACTGTCTTGGTGGCTATGCTATTTAGGGGTGTTAGTGCAGAAAGATCAGGACAAATGCAAACTTCACAAATCAGCTCAGAGCTTTATTCAGGAATGAAGTGTCACACAGGGGCAGGGGATGCAGGGACGAAATGACGCCATGGTGGGACCCACTTTCCTGGTAGAAAATGAGCCCCCGAAAAAAAGAAAGGGCCTGGGCTTCTATAGGTTATTCTGAGAGGTGGTCTAGTGAGCATATCAGTTTTCTTTGGGCGCCCAGGAATTTGGAGTTTGTTCTATCAATCAGTGAAGGGGTCAGTTTTAGTGCTTAGGAATTTGGGGTCTTTTTTACAGGGCAAAATGGGAGGGAGTCTAGGGTCAGTGGTCAGTTTCTGGGATTTATCTTACTGGCCTGATGGAGAGCCAGGGGTCAGTGGTTGGTATTTGGAAAGAAGTTTTTACAGAAGTGAAGCCAGATTTAAAGCTAGGTAGGTAGTGTAGTTAGGTAAATCGAGTCTAATATAAGTAAGATAAACAAAATGGAGGCCATTATTGAGAATGTAGTCCAGGAAAGCAGAGCAGCACTTGGGGAAGTTGAAATGTTAATGTCCCCAAGGCCCTGGAGCCCTTCCTAAGGAAATGTTAATGAAGCAGCTCCCAGCAAACTGGGAGGTGCTAATCCAAAAGCCGCCCCAGGCCCTTTCTGCCCAGATTACTCCTCCAGCCCACCTATTCCCCGGACCTTTTGGCCTTCCCACCTGCATTCTATCACTGCAAGATAACAGAAAACAAAGGACAGGAGTGTGGGGAAGCTGAAAGAAGATTTTAGCTATAAAAAAGGGAAGACCTCCCCCTTCCATGGATTCCAACTTTTGGGTCCCCTTTTTCCTCTGGGGAGAAGTCTTTTCTGCTGTCCTTTAATAAGCTTCTATTTTCCATTCTACACTTGCCTCGGCGTGCTTCTCTGGTGTTATACTTCAGCATTCGGGGAAGCAAGGACTCATCACAGGTAAACAGCAGTAACAGAAGGATTAATGCTTTGATCTCTTCCCAAAGACTGCCTTTCCAGGTTTGACGGACACTTCTTCCTCAGGGTTTGTTTTATTCACCGGGAAAGAATGTACTGGGAAAGGATCAGTGCTCTCAATGTATGGCTTTCCTTCTTACTCCCCTTTTCCCAGGTCTCACTACTTTTGGGGTTTGTCATTTTCTACATGTAATAAGGGGTGCTTCATCTACAAGTCAATCCCATGTTAAAGTGGGCGCTGGGGTCAATAGCTGGTCAGAAGTTACCTTAGTGTGCTGTTAAAGGAATCTTCCTTCCCAGATAAATAGAGACGACTCTAGCTCCACATCAACATCAATGGACCCTGCCAAGTTTATCCCATAAATTCTTTTCTCTTGACATGTTTTCCCATTAGCTCCTTTGCTTCTGCTTATTTATTTATTTTATGAATGAACTACTACCCTTTGCTTTCTACCACCCTTTGCTAGTTACTACCTAACCCTGGGATAATATCACTGGTTGGTTTGAGTAGCCTATTAGATTGCTTGAGAAGTAGGGAGCTAGCAGCTGGGCTTATCTGGTAACACCAAGAAGAGCCAAAGCAAAAATTGCATCTAATTAGCTTCTTATGAAAGGAAGGCCCGACTGCCCCCCTCCCCCCTAGAGCAGCCTGAGGCCACAGGGACCTGCCCTCCAGCCACCCAGCCTACTGACGGAAGTGCTGTCTCTCTTGATAGGTCCAGGATGACTCAGCCGACCAGCACGTGACCAAGCAGAGCTCCCAACAAACTTTTTCTCCTCTTAGCAAGGGTGCCAGTGGGCCATGCCCACAGACCTCCCTTTCTTCCTCTTCCCATCTCCTCAGGACCCAAGGATGAATGGAGAGGACAAGGAAACCTTCTTTGCACAAACAGGTAAGGATTCATTCAGCGCCTAAAGAAATTGCATCCACCCCATGACATACACTGAGGACTTACTCAGACAAAACACCTGGGGGCTTTTTTCCATTTGGGTTTTTCCATTTAAAGAAATCGTAAGCTCTTTCTCTGGTTTTCTTTCACAAACTAAGCATATGACAGGCCAGGGTTGCAGATTTTTCTTAGCCTACTTCCTCCTAAAATATCAGTCTGTGGTTAATCAAGCTCTGTGAATGAGAATTTCTCCTTCAGACATTGTGGGCTAACACGGTTCTCTGAACCCCCACCATTTGCTGGTTTTCTTTCCCCTCTGAGGAGTGTAAGCAGTCACCAGAAAGCTTTTTAAAGAAAGGAAGTATAAGAAATTTTTCCATGCTCCTGACCCTTTGAGTCTACAAGTTGTAGGACTCCTGAACCTGCTGTCTCTAGACTAAAGCAGCCACACACTGTTGACCGAATGTCAGCCCCTGTTCCCTTCCAAGTAATAAGTAATAAGTCAAAACAGCCTGCTTGAGGTGGCTACAGTTAATTTGCACATACATCACTACTGCAGGTGTGGCATCTGTGCCTTCCGGGGTGCAGTGAGGCATCCCATGCTGGTGGTGAGTGGAGAGCAGGCAGGCAGACCCCAGGTTGATTCACACCTTGTTCCTTACCATTTGACTGACCTCAGGCAAACCAAGTTCTTTCTCTCCTCATTTTCCCCGTGGAGACAGTAATGCCTACCCTGCGGGTGCTCTGAGGTAACTAATGGATATATTATGCTTGGATATAAAGGAGGCTCTCAATAAATGGCAGCAATATTTATTATTGTTGATTTTGTAAAAAGATTTACTACCCCTAAAGCACTTGGAACAGTCTACTGAGTAGTGTTGGTCATGACTGTTATTATCTAAGGAGCTGGGGATGCCTTGTCAACAGGATCTTCAGGCTTCTCCTAGGAATGGTTCTGGATCTGGCTAATGTGCCTAAGGCAGAAAGGCTGGTCTCTTCAGAAACATTTCAGCGTGGTTGAGGAGGTGAAATTGGGCCTATGGAAGGAAGTGAAATTGTAAGGTCTGCATCTTAGAAAGAGCAAAGACCACAGATTAGAGAACGGACCCAGAGGAAGAAAACTATGGCCCAAAGAATTAGGAAGCCACAGCAGGAGTCCATATTTGAACTGGACTCTTGGTAGAGGCTGTGGAGGGGAGAGAAGTGGACTGTGGATCAGAGTGGTTTCAGAGGTATGGTCTACTCTTTTATGGTGGACAAAGGGGAGGAAGGAGCCACAGAGGATCTTGAGATTTCTGTCTGGTCCAATCAAGGGGATATTGATCTCACTTATTGAGAGAAGGTACAGACTTGAGAAATAAAATAATTCACTTAGCATTTATTTTAAATTGTTTCTTTGCATAGACACAGAGTTTATTCAATCAGCAGCAAAGAGACATTCTTGCTAGGCTCAGTGGTATCCACCTGTAACCCCAGAAACTTGGGAGACTGAGGCAAGATGATCACAAGTTTGAGGCCAGCTTCAGCAACTTAGTGAGAGACCCTGTCTCAAAATGAAAAGGCTGGGATGTAGCTCAGTGGTGAAGCACCCCTGGATTCAATCTCCAGTACCAGCAGGAAAAAAGAGAGAGAGAGAGAGAGAGAGATTTCTTTGCTCTTGGTAATTCTTGTATATTTTAGAACATTGGATACCAAGTATTGTGCCTTGCTGAGAGAGGCATCAGGTGAATATATTTTATCTAATGAAGAAAGAAAGGAAGAACAGAAGATACCAAAAATATTAAGCTATTTCTACCTTACTAGATGAAGCAACTTCACATTCAAGAATTTAGCTTTTAATAACATTTTTTAAAATATTTTTTTAAGTTTTAGGTGGATACAATATCTTTATTTTATTTTTATGTGGTGCTGAGGATCGAACCTAGTTCCTCAAGCCACAACCCCAGCTCCTGCTAATAACATTTTAAAATTTGAGAACATTTGCTTTATAAATATATGTCTTTGGGTGCAGTGGTGCACACCTGTAATCCCAGCAGCTAAGGAGGCCTAGGACGGAGGATCACAAGTTCAAAGCCAGCCTCAGCAATTTAGCTAGGTCCTAAGAAATCTGGATGTCTCAAATAGAAAATTTTTAAAAGGGCTGGGAATGTGGCTCAGTGGTTAAACACCCCAAGTTAAACACCCCTGGATTAAAAACAAACAAACAAACAAAAAAAAAAACTTAATAAATAAATGTAGTATGACCAAGTTTTAGATAATTTTAAAAATTGGGAAAATTACTGCATCTGTAATGCTACCACTTAAGTAAATGAATGGTTGCATTTAGTTTTAACAAAGATAACAGCACCACTGTTATAGTTAATTGATAATGCCACTTAAAAGCACCAAGTTTTTGAACATCCAGATTTCTTAAATTGACAATGTTGTTGATAGAGCTGTAAAGTATGACAAGTTAAAAATAAAGATTAAAGGCATTTTTAAGAGAATTTTTGAAGTACAGATTATGAGTATAAACCATAAAGAAGATTCTCTGCCAGCTTCTGCTGATCAGGTCCTTCTGGTATTTTTCAGACCTAAGGGTAAAACTTCTTTGTGTGCATGGTTTATGGCAGCATGGATTGAGGAAAGGAAAATTTGTTGTAACTAAAAAATAGCTGTCATCTGACTAGAAATAAAACATAGAGGATCTGAGAGCTCCCAGCCTGGGATTTGACAAAGCTGTGCTCTGAAAGATGTAGTAATCAGGTGAATGTAAGGGAGGGAAGTGGACAATGGAATAGGAAGTTACCAGGGGCTAGGGAGTGGGGAGCAGGGCGCAGGGCGTGGGGCTGTTCAATGGTACAGAGTTTCAGATTTGCAAGATGAAAAAAGGTCTGGAGATCTGTTTGACAAGTATGAATAGACCAAATACTGACCTGCACATTTTAAACAAGTGGTTAAGTCATTAAAAGAGAGAGAAAAACTGGAAGGAGAGAGAACTGGAATCAGGAAAACTATAAGCTAGTGATTTAGTCTTCTAATGCAATATAATATTATTTAGAGGTGAGGAATAATGCTACATAATGTAAGCCCCAATTCTCCTTTCTCATTAAATTATTTAGGCTTGGTAAAAAAGATTTATGATCTTTTTTTTTTTTTTTTTTTGTACCAGGGATTGAACCCAGGGACACTTAACCACCGAGCCACATCCCAAGCCCTTTTTTAAAAATTTTATTCTGAAACAGGGTCTTACTAAGTTGCTTAGGGCCTTGCTAAATTGCTGAGGCTGGCTTTGAATTTGGGACCCTCCTGCCTCAACCTCTAAGCCTCTGAGCCAAAGGTTTATAATCTTTAAAAAATAAATAAATAAAATCATGAACTGTGGCTGTGGAACTATGGGTCCAGGATCCAGGAAGCCGGGTCCCTGGTCCAAGTTCAGCCTGACTGTGTGGTTCCAACAGTTGCTCAGTCTCCCTGAGCCTCACTTGGCCTCAGGATGGTTTCTGTAGTCTTCTCTCCTGCAGAGACTGTTCCTGCAGGGAGAAGGTCACACAAGTCCACGGAGCTGGGCCTATCAAATAGGGTGCCTGTCGGTATTTATGTTTTATTTTGTACTTTGTCCTTTAAAGTATTGTTTTATACTACAAAAGCAAGGATGTCCGTATACTATTTCAGAAAATCCCAGTCCCAGGGCACGCATACCAGCTGCCAAAGGCAGCAGGAGATGTGAGACCAAAAACAGAGGCAGATGGATCTATAGTGCACAAAGGGAATTTATCAGAGCCTTAAGGACAGAGAGTGTCTTGGGCAGCAATAACACATGTGAATCCCCACACCCCAAGGCAGGAGGAAGGGGTTTTTGCACTAAGCGAGATAAAGGTGGGCTAGAGTCAACTGATAAACCTGACTTCTCTCAAAACAGTTAAGAAACAGTCTGGAGCCGGGGACAGTGGTGTATACCTATAATCTTAGACGCCCTAAGCAACTCAGTGAGACCCTGTCTCTAAAATACAAAAAAAGGCTGGGGGTGTGGCTCAGTGGTTAAGCGCTCCTGGGTTTAATCTCCAGATCAAAAAGAAAAAAGAAAAAGAAAGAAACAGTCTGGGTGTCAGTGGTCAGGACACCGTGCTCCGCTGACTATCCTAACAACTTTGTTTGTCTGTAGAGCTTGGGATGTGTGCCAGGGTCACCTGATAGTCAAAAAGGTGGCTATGACCAAAATGACTTAGTTTTGTTGAACTAGACTCCTCCATCTACTAATGCCTAGAATAAACTGAGCATTTACTAAGTGCCCAGCATTCTATTTAGCACTTTGCATGTTCATCTTTGAAATCAGAAAGGACACAGAGGGGTTGAGTATCATTCCCATAGTCATACAGCTCTCGGGTTAAGGACCTTGGGACTCTGAACTCGACTTTTTAGCCTGCAAAGTCATGCTCTGAACTACTAAGCTACTAAGCTACAGAATGCAGGATTTGCATAAAACATAATACATCTAAGAAAACTTGCAGAAAGGTTAAGAAATCCTGACAGAAGAGGATCTTTTATAAATTTACTTCTCAGGGCTGGGGTTCTGGCTCAGTGGTATAATACTTGCCTACCATGCATGAAGCCCTAGGTTAAATCCCCAGCTCCACAAAAAATAATGGTAACAATAAAAATAATAAATAAAAATAAATTCACTTCTCATCTCATCCATCCTGCATAGTGAAACCTCTGATTTGGTTTGGGATGAAACCTCTGATTTGGCTTCTCAACCCATAACCTCCCAAATCCCTACAACCTTAGCCTTGCAATAGAAACAAATTATTTATTCTTATGTCCTTGAAAGTGCTAAATGCAAATGCTTTGAAGAGAAATTATCAAAAGCATGCAGGCTGTTAAAGTCATACAAGAAAAAAAAATTGTTTTGTGATTTGCCAAATTTTGTCACGTTTTTAAGGTAACTAGGCATGGATCTAAATACAAACACACACCAACTGGCTGTAATAAATGCATCTATAAGTAAATATTTAATGAGCTGATTTGTGGCCTGTGTATAGCATTCCATTCCAAGAAGATAAGAAAAATAATCATGTTCCTTAAAATAGAAAATGTGGATAAAATGATCGTGGCTTTCATAAAGTTCAATTAATCTGTGACTGAAATTATTAAAAGGTTGTTGATATTAAGGGAATATTATTTTTGCCCTTATACCCAGAATATTTTTCACTGCCTAATTAAAATTTTTCATTTTTATGGTTTTGGTTTCACATAAATCATCATTTTAAGTAAATTATAATTTTGGAACATCATATGAATGTACATTAATACAGACCAAAAGGCAAAACTCTAAGCTTGACTATAATTTTTTGCCTACTCTGCGCCTATACCCATGTAGCTAGGTCAGAGGAGAGAAAACCAAGGGACACAGCTACCACCTGATGTGACCTCTTCACGATGCTCAGAGTTACAGCCTCTCTTATGCTTCCCCAGATGAGTATTTCATGTCTTCTGTTTCTCCGTCTTCTAATATCACCTTCCCCACCATCACTATCAGCTGATGACCTGATGTGTTCCTGACCAAGGACAATCCCTCCACCAGGTACTAGATCACACTTTTTTTAAAAAAAATTTTTAGTTGTAGATGAACACAATACCTTTATTTATTTATTTTTATGTGGTGCTGAGGATCGAATCCAGGGCCTCTCACGTGCTAGCCAAGTGCTCTTCCACTTAGCTAACCCCCAGCCCATAGACCACACCCTTTTTTAACCGACATTGCTCCATCAGTCCTGCCCTATTCCCCATCCCCCCACATCAACTGCTTTTCCCTGTTTACTGGATCATTCCTGTAAGCATACAAGCCAGCTATCATCATTCCCATCTTAAAAGCCCATAAAACTTTCATAACTCCACTTTGCTCTCCAGCAGACAATCAGATCCATTTTCTACTACTTCTCTATTTGTAGCAAAACTCCTTGAGCCAGGTACTGTCCCCAATCCTATTCCTACTCTCTCTTGAAGCATTCCAATTAGCCTTTGTCCCCACCCTCCATCAAGGCCACCAATATTCAACATGCTGTTATTACCAGTGGTTTTAACATTCCGCTTGACTTATCAACTGTCTCTTCTGAATCTTTCCTGGAAACACTTTCTCTTCTTCACTTCCAAAGCCCCACAGTCTTATGGTTTTCCCGATTCACTACCATGTCTTCTCAGAATCAGTCACAGCTTCACCCTCATCTCCCAGCCTTCCTATATCTGGACTGTCCTGGGGTTCAATTATTGAGACTCTAATTCTTCTCTAGTTTCACCAAATCAAGTTGAAATTCCTGCTAGGACCTCTCTAAACTCCAGACTTGTAGATTCAAATGCCCATTCAACCTCCCTAACAAGCTCCAAATGAAACACTTGACTTTCACTCTCCATACCTGTTTCTCCCTATTTTTTTCCTCCTCAGGAAATGGCTCAGGCCAAAAAACCAAGGACCCATCCTCGTCACCTCTTCTTACACTGCACCTCTCCCCACTGGCAAATTCTATTGCCTCTATTTTAACACTACATCCAGAATCAGACCATTTTTCATCCCTTGGCCAATGCCACTCTGATCCAAGCCACAACTCCCTCAATATTCAGGAACCTCCTTCTTGGTCCTCTCAGCCACAATCTTTGCCCCATACAATTTTCTTAATGGAGCAACAAGCATGACCATGTTAAAAATGGTGAGAAGTGTCATTTTTCTGTTCAAACCCTTCACAATGGCTCCCCAAATAAAAGCCCATGTCTTTTAGATGGCCTGTGATCTGTCCCCCTTTCTTCCTTGATTCTTTTTCCTTCCAACCTAGTCAGACTTGCCTCCTGACTGCTGCTTCTCACAGAATGTGTCTTCCCCAGAGTTCACCATAGTTTGCTCTAACACCTTCCTCAGGATTTTACACATTTGTTGTCTTCTCCAGAAGGCTTTTTCAAATCACTTTTATTTAAAATGCCAACTTATGCCTCAAGCAGTAGCAGTTGACTGTACTCATAGCAACTCCGGAGTCTGAGGCAGGAAGATCACAAGTTTGAGGCTGGCCTCAGCGACTTAGTGAGACTCTGTCTCAAAATAAAATTTAAAAAAATGGCTGGGGGTCTAGCTCAATCAATGGTAGAGTGCCCTGGGATTCAATCCCAAGTACTACCAAAATTTTTTATTTAAATAAAAATAAAATGCCAACTCATAGTCCCTGCAATCTTCTCACCCAGCACTTATTATCCTCTGGTCTTTCACCTATTTATTATTTTATGTATTATTTAATTGTCTGCCTTCCCCAACTCAATTATGTAAGGTCAAGGCCTTTTGTTTTGTTTTGTTTTTTCTGCCGTGCGTGGTGGCACATGCCTATAATCCCAAGAACTCTGGAGGCTGAAGCAGGAGGATTGCAAATTTGAGGCCAACCTTTGTGCCAGGGTCCTGCCCTTACAAGATCCAGGGAGTCCTGGAGGAAGAGTGGGTTGGTAAAAGAAGCAAGACAGCGTGCTTGCCTTGCATGCACAAAGCCCTGGGTTCAATCCCCCAGCACCACCAAAAAAAAGAAAAAAAAAAAATTCATGGGTTGGAGTTGTGGCTCAGTGGGAAAGCACTTGCCTGGCATGTATGAGGCCCTGGGTTTGATCCTCAGCACTGCATATAAATGAATAAATAAAATAAAAAATACATTTACATATATATATATATATATATATATAGAGAGAGAGAGAGAGAGAGAGAGAGAGAGAGAGAAGAAGAAGAAGAAGAAGCAAGACAAAACACTGGTTGCAACTTCAAACAGTCTTCAGAAAGATCTGCTGCTCCCTGTGGAGCCTTTTATTCTTTTTTGTTCTTATTTTTTTGGGGGCGGGGTGGGGTTTCAGGGATTGAACTCAGTGGCACTCAACCACTGAGCCACATCCCCAGCCCAATTTTGTATTTTTTATTAGAGACAGGGTATCACTGAGTTGTTTACAGCCTTGCAGTTGCTGAGGCTGGCTTTGAACTCACAATCCTCCTGTCTCAGCCCCCGGGGCCGCTGGGATTACAGGCATGCGCCACAGCTCAAGGCTCTTGTATTCTTAAATACACTTTTTCAGATGGTTAACAGGTGGCCTTATGGCCTGATTTTCCTGATTTACATATTTCCCTTGTGAGTTCCACAACCTTTTAGCATGCATTCTACTTTTACATGGAACATGGATCACGCTTCTATTTTTGCTTTTCCTTTTGATCTTTTACTAAGCTATGATTAACCTTTTAAACTGCTAAAGAGTTTCTTTGTTCCTTGGTCAAGGTACACCAATTTTTGAACCTTTGTAACCTCTAACTAAAGGGCAGATTCTGCACTGTCAGTCCATTTTCCATTTACATTAACTATATGTCTTCCATTTTCGTCAGGTATTCCCATAAATGGCAAGGGAGGGTCTGTGGGTAAGGGGAATGTATTCTGATTAGCTTCCCTGCCCCTAGGAGGGTACCATAGTCTTCCTTGAATTAAATAAGCTATAAAAGGTGGGCCTTGCACTGTTGGCACAACAATTCTTTTCCTGTGATTAGGCTTACGCACAGGTTGCACTTTTGGATCAGGAGACCTAGTAGAAAATGTCAACTGTGGAGCAAAGAGTTCTTGTAATCTACGCTTTTCCCAGAAATCCTGGTCTGGGACTACGTATTTGTGTTTACTTATATTCTAGATAACGTTAGTCTTAAAACAAATCTCAGGACATTTTTTTTGTCATATTCTTAGTCTCCTTCTGGGAACTTTCCCAAACATTCTAACAACATATGTTTTTAGTTTGGATTGAGATGCTTCCTGTTAACCACATTAATATTTCCAGGATCAGAGCAGCCATAGCACCCCATGGTTTTGGTTTCCAGATGTGTCGGCCCTGCTGCAATATCTCCCACGCTGTGACCCTGTCAGACAGCAGGGGCAGGAACACCTTCACCACCTTAGCAACGTGGACCCTGTCTCAAAAAAAAAAAAAAAAAAAAAATGGCTGAGGATGTAACTCAGTGGTAAAATACCCCTGAGTACAATTCCCAGTACACAAAAGTCTTATTCACTACTTTATCCTTACTACTTAGAATAGTGCCTATCAGAATTATTTTTATTATATTTTATTTTTTGACTGAAATAAAGAGAGAATGACTAAATGGGCCATGGTTAATGATACAGAGCTCCTTTTATATACAGTCCTGTGGACACCGTATTCTGGGTTTGTTTTCTCAATCTTTGCATCTATCTAGGTTGTGTTATTATTATCACCATTTTGTAAATGAGAAAATAGTCACAGGGGAATTAAGTGACTGCCAAGGTCATGCAGCCATATGACTAAAAGGGTTTTTAAACCCAAGTCTGTTGGCTGCAAAGCCAGAGACTCTCACAGCTCACTTGCTTCACAGCATCACACCTTTAGCTTCAACCCATACCATGAGCAGACATGCTATCACCACGGCTCACCATAGGCCCAGGTTGGTCATGGTGCTGCCTCCCAGAACAGATTTGTCTGCCTCTTGTGGCAGGCTGCTGTGAGGAATGGGTTTCCTATATCATTTTAAATATCTGCGTGTTTGAAACAATCTGTTTACCAAAGCATTTCTACAGTTTAACATCCATTCTAAGTGAAGCCTATACCCAAACAACTGCCTTTAATAAAAAGCAATATTAGATCTTCAAGAAGAAAGGAAGAGAGAATAATATATCTCAGAAAGATATAGAACATCTATATAGAAGCTTTTAGGCAAAACAGGCAAGAAGAAAGAGGCAGGCAGTATTGCTTCTAGAAGAGAAACAAGGATTTGGAAACCTAAAGTGTGCATGACTCCTTCTCACTCATGCTTCTTATGCCCTTCGAAGTTTTGTGCCATGTGCATGCATTACCTTCTAAAAATGAGCAACATAATTTAAGAATGACAATGATGACAGTGCACCCTGTTTGGCCTCCCACTGAGGAGGCAGCAAAGGTCACACACTATGCAGTTATAAGAGTTGGCTCCAGCCTGCCTGCTCTGTCAAGATCACACGTCACCCAAGTTCTGTTCTCTCCGTGCCTGTTTCATCATCTGCAGAGTGAAGATAACAACGAGAGCTGACTTTATGAAAGAAGGTCTGTATGAGAACGCACATTTGAGGGACAAAACATTTGTAAGTTGTCATCTTTGAGCAAAAAGTCAAATGTGGTGAAGAAAAACAGACAACTCCCCAAAACTTTTGGAGAATGAAATGGAGCCAGAATCACAATAGAAGCTGGAACAGTTATCGTAGCTGTTAACATTGTGTTAGTCCTTTTTCTGCTGCTGTACAAAATACCTGAGAAAATCAACTTAAAGGAGGAAGGATTTACTTTTGGCTCATGGTTTCATAAGTTTTAGGCCATGGTCATTTGGCTTCATTGCTTCTGGGCATGTGGTGGGGAAAAACACCATAGTAGTGAGCATATAGTAGAGTAAAACTGATCACCTCATGGCAGCTGGGTTGCAAAAAGGGAGAGAGAAAAGAAGAAAACAAGAGAACAAGATAGATGCTTCCAGGGCACTTCTCCAAGGACCTACTTTCTCCAACTAGGCTCTACTTCCCAAACTTCCAC